ATTCTTGAAATGTATACTTTACAAATCCTATGATATGTAGTTTTTCAAAAACGACCTATACTGGTCAATGTTTTTATTTAAAAAACAAACGACGTTTCGGTCCCGGATTTGGACCCTTTTCAAGTAATCTGCAAACGTACATAACTTAACACTAAATATTTCTTTTAAAAATATAGCCCAAATAATTACAAATCCTCTTAATAGATTTACTTAATGAGGAAAAATATTTCCTTCCCAACATCATGTTTATTTGGAAGAATCCCTCACCTGTGATGGTGTGCGCCATCTAAACACGAAACGCAGCCTACATAACCACACGGACACACATCTACAATACATCATCCACACATACACGCGAAAGTTTCATACAAACTATATTCTTATTTAAAACCTCTAATCCCAATTTGGAGGGTTTTACAGTAATTTTACATGTAATCCAATCCCAGGAAACTCACTTTCATGTGAATACAAGTTGTAAAACTTTTATACGAAGCATAAGGCCTGTCGCACACAAAATTGCATAACTACATATGCATAGCATAAACATCGTTTAAACCAATGAGCATCGAGCATTGAGTCGCCACATTGATTTACGTAACATGCTCATTGGTCTAGACAATCTTATGCCATGCATATGCATCTATGCAATTTTGTGTGCAACAGCCCTAAGTTATGACGAAGTGTCAGTTTGTCTACAAGGATATAACTAATCAATATATGAATTTTGAAATTTTTACTCATTTTTTGTATAAAATTGGAGATTCCTTGGATCATTAATGCATATACTGTAATTGTACGCAAGCATTTTTAATTTCATGAATTTAATACGACGAAAGGTTATAACTACAAAAAATGTAATTCTGTCGGTAATACAGACGGCTGAAGGATCCTCTTAATTTTTATATGTATATCAGACTTTGTAACTGACTTGACTATAGAAGCAAGAGTCAACAATCATTATATTGTATATTATATAGGGTGAGTCTTTCCATATCCGACAAAATTTTTGAGAAGGTAGAACGGATCGAGATGAACGGAAAAGTCCTGTACCATTTTGCAATTTTCGTAATAGTTAACGAGTAATTAATTATTAAAAATCGTTGTCTTAGGCCGGCCTACCGCCCAATTCGAGCGCGTGGCGAGATGTACACATAGCAATATCGATCGCCGGGCGGTCACATCTTGCCACGCGCT